ATAAATAGACCATTAAGAACCACACTCCATACCAGTAAGTGGCGGTAATGCTACTAAAAGTTTGTTGCCAACCGCCATAAAACTCCAGAAGAAGAAGAAGAAGAAGAAGAAGAAATCCCACATCTGGACATATTATAAACTGATCAGAACAACACATGCTGGACAATTTGGTAAAAATAAATAAATAAATTGTAAATTGCCTGCATATAGTAGACCCGCAGTAGACTCCTGCGGGACTTCAAGTACCAGCAAGAGATTTATAGCAAACTGGAGCTGTCTCTGCCGTGATAAATGATGCAGCCTGATGAATTGATTACAATTAGGCCACAAGTAGCATCGGGTGTAGCCAACAACCGGGCGTCAGTGGCCCAACTGTAATGCCATGTCGCCTGTGCACTGGTCTGATGAAGTGTAATGTGATTGGTTGCCCTGCACAGTGCCGTACCATCAATCATGAGTGGGTCAAGTGCTTGAGGCGGCAGCGTTTGAACCTGAGCGTATCCCACAGGGTGTTAATGTGAAACAGGTATGACTCTAATGGAATGTGGAGGTATATCAAGCACAGCTAGAGGCTTGTTTTACCCCTCTGAGCCACTATCACTGCAGGTAAGTTGTCTTCTCTCAATCTCACAGTCAAAGCTAAAACCTTTTTTTTTCTTTCTTTATACCTTCCCCAAACAAAAGTCATAGAAATGTAGTCTGCAGTGATGGTTGTCCCAGTTATTGTGAGAATCAACAGTGACAGTTATATATTACCAGAAGGTTTTTGATTGTTTTCATAACTGATAAGCTACACAGCTACTGTACAGATCAAGAGCAGGTTTTTTTTATAAGAGTTGAGGAGACTGGACCTTTGGGGAGGATGCGTGGTTGCACTCCCAGGTTTTTGACTGTAGGCTAGCCCATGGGGATGCAGGCTTTTTCTTTTTATTGGGTTTTTTCTTAATGGGGCGCATCGGGAAAAGGGCAGGGTGGACCCAAGTATTGAAAATAAAGTACATAGAACCAGGGAGGCCATGTCAGAGATTACGGCTGGAGCAGACGTATCATCATGACTACACATACTGACATCACAGGGTAAGAAAGGAGAACAGGAGGGGATCTACCATTTTGCTTGTGGAATGTAAATGGTATTAATGAACCGGTAAAAAGAGGCAAGGTACTATCTCATTGGTGACAGCAGACTTTTTTTTCTTTTTTTTTTACAGGAGACAAACCTGAAAAATTAAGCATCTAATAGAATAAGAGCCAGTTGGATAAAAAAAAGTATAACATTCCAAATTTACTCCAGCCCTACTCCTAGGGGTTTTTGCTAACCAGACAATGTCAGAGACAATTAACCTTCATAGAGGAACTAGACAGGGGTGGGTGTCCTCTTAGCCAATTGTTGTTTGCATTGGCACTGGAGCCACTAGTGGCAACCGTTCATGCAAATAAAGAGTTTCATGGCTATGACACAGACTATACCACAAATAAAATATCGCTATATGCAGATTACATTTTGACCTTTGTCACAGAGCCAAGAACTTTATAACTTGTTTTATTAGAGACAATTTATTTATTTAGCTCGTTCTCTGGATACAGAGTGAACTGGGCAAAAAAGCGAGCTAATACCCAAATCTGGAAGCATATAACAATTTAACCTCAGGAGGCTATCCTTTACATACCCAATATCAGCAAATCATTCACCCCTTCGATTGTACATGGAGACTTTGATAGATGGAAAGAACTTGGCCTGCACAGTGTGGGTGATCTGTACACTAATGGTTAATTTGCATTATTTCATCAACTGCAAGAGAAATATGATCTGCCAAAGTGTGAATTTTTAGATATCTCCAAGTCAGACATTTTGTAAGGACACGTCTGGAGCACTTGGAAAACGCGACCCCTGACAAGCTAAACCGCTGTCTAGGGGAATGAACAAGGGAGAAGAACGCAGTTTCAGTTATTTATGATTCATTTCAAGAACTAGACCCAGTGAACACGGATAAAATAAAGGGAAACTGGGAAAAAGAATTAGGCATAGTTATAGCGGAGGATTTATGGAAGGAAAACCTGAGCTATATGCTCCCTGAATGCTGGACACTGCCAGATCCACTTTAAAATACTGCACAGGCTGCAGTACCCAAGAGTAAAATTACACCGAATATTCAAAGAAATATCCCCCATCTGTGAAAAATGTAGCCGAGCAGAGGGAAATTTACTTCACTGTGTACCAAACTAGAAATTTTCTGGACATCAGTGTTATAATTTTTCTCAGAGGTCTTCAAGACTATCTTAAGACCAAATCCACTATTGGTTATACCAGGGACATCACACCTAGTGCTTGCTCTTGGTGGGAAGTGTTGGGCTTCTTTAAATAAGCCTTATGAGATAACTGTTGTTGTGATTTGGCGCTATATAAACATAAATACACATATACAAGAAGAGGGTACGACAGCTTGTCTGACAGGTCTGAGTTCTTGATCTCTAAGCAATAAAGAGAGCATGAAAGACTAAATGTGACTCAGCCTCGGATTTTCTTTTATGTGTAATGGGAATATTACAAAGTAAATAAAAGCGGTACTGACCCAATTTTGGGGGGTATGTTGCACAATCTTAAAATGATGAGATTATTTTTGAATTGGAGATTGCCCTTAAGAGATTCAACTGTTTTTGTTGGTTTTAAAATGGTAGATTATTGTACGCCACAGACTTATCTATTTAAACTATATCTTTTCTATTATTTCATTTCTTTAAATAGGTCAGTGAAGCAGAGAGCCTTCATACTGGTCACAGATGTCGCTGAGGGGAATGTGGTAAATGTGTTGTTTAAAACACGGTTAAACGTGATTAAGAATTTGTACAAAGACTTTCAAACGCTATGGATTATGATTGAATTTGGCTCAGGTAGTCCGTAGGCTCTCTAAAGCTTATGCCAAGACATCTATCTAATCCTCAAACAAGACATTTCATTATTGGAAGAGAGGCCTAGTAATTTATTCTTTTTTGTTCAGATGCAAACTAATTTTATGCATACTGATGAGACATGCCAACGAGCTTCTTGCATACCCACAATAATATTATCGTATAATGTGGAAGTTGTGTACAACACTTGAGTTACGATATAAATCAATTAAGACAGAACTGATAAGATCAATGCTTAACCTCCCAGTATTTTACTTTATCATCTGGGCTCCTCGCATTAGGGACTCACTTTCCTTTTAAAAACTATACTGAGCATCCTACATGTCAGGTGTATTTACATCATGTCTGAATTTCTAAGGCAAGCCTCCATAGTTAAATACAATACTGCTGTACGATAATACTGTTTTTTATGTATTATGTTTTGGTCATAAATGTTTTACCATCAGGTTGCTGTCCTGCTTGTTTAGTTTCTAATCTCTCCTTCTTCTCTCCAGAGTGCGATCGGCAGGTGGACCTCCCAGGTGGGTTGCATTTAGCCTCATCATAGAGCAGTATTTAGAGGAGGTAATTCTCAGAGAAAGACACCAAATAGGTTAACTATTAATGGTGATAACTGTACTTTGTGCACTCCAAATGATTCTTCTGTAGAATGTACTCTTGCTCTTCTCCCTCCTCGCAGATTTGCCTCTCTAAAAGGTGCACCCTGGGTCATAGGCATTTAGACTCTCTGCTGGTTCTTCCGTCCCGTAGATTCCTTCTCCCAGCATCTCTTTCTCTTCCCTTTCGCTACTCTGGCTCAAGACACCCACCTGTGTCTCACCTCCAGTACTCACTGGCTTGTCTACCCTCCAACGGGATGTCTTCTCCTGCTAAGGAGATGTGTGGACATACTGTACCTTTTGCTTCCCTCTTCAGAACCTGGCCCTCTTCCTCTACAAAAATAAGTTCAATCATAAATTGCATCATTTAAAAACCTCCCTGTCTTCCAGTGTGGATCCAGTCTTTTTTGGTGTTCTCACTCCTGCAGAAAAATCATTCAAGAAAGCATATTATCTCTTTTCAATAAACCTTGCATTTTTCAATGCTTGGTGTCCATAATTGTCATACAGTCATACAGAAAATGCAGCAACTCCAGTGCCTCCTCAGGTTAGAACTTCTACCGAAGAGACTTTAGCATCATCACCTCCTCTTACCTTTGTCACCTCCATCAAAAAGACATTCTTCTTGACATCAGGCAGTAACCAAGGCTTTACTGAATTGACACAAAGATTCTCCCAGGCCCTAATTCTTTCCCCACAAACCTGATTTCCATTGCTACCTGGAAGTCGAAGCATCTGGCAGTGGTGTCAAGATAAAAAGCTACATCCCTGTGCATTCTTTTAAAAAATTTCAAGAAAGAACTTATAATGTTGGTGATTGAGAACTTCTTGCTATAAATGGTAATGGAGACACTGGAGAAATTAATGGAGACATTGGTTGGAAGGCACAGAATCCATAGTCTGGACCGACCATAAAAGTCTATCCTACCAAAATACTCAACTCTAGACCCTGTTTTTCAACATGTTTCAATTAACCCTCATATCATGTTGGAAAAAAATTACATTGATTATGTCGCGGGTCATTTTGAACCGCACCATGTAAATGTTTGCAAAACATTTACAAAAACCGGTTAAGCCAATAAGAAATTATGTAATATTGAATGAAGCTTTAGAAAAGTGACTTACAATACATTTTTAATTCCAACACTTTCTTTAAGAACTATTTTGTTTGGGTTTTTCCTTCTTTACAAACACATTTCGGAATTTTACTGTGTACTTTCTGCAGATGTAACTCTTAAATTTCAAACAAGAGGTACTTATTTTAATGTCTTCTTGGGATGGACAGACCTTGCATCCTGGCTTTCTCTTTCTTTTTCACCTTGGGGGACCTGACCTTGACCTTTTCAATGATAGCTGCTGCTACTGGGGATCAAGCTAGCCTGGCTCGAGTCTGGATCAAACTGGCTCTGACAGCTGTATGTTGCTGTGACTTTGTCCAGATTGTCAATTCCTCCTTTGGTGGATTTATAACCCAGGATAATTTGTGGCTTCAAGTCCTCTCTTGTGCCCAGAGATGCATCAGCTTCCATTGTACTCAATACAAGAACATTCTTGTTTCTCTTTGGGCAGTATGGGACAACTGTCACTTTCTCAATTAAAAGCAAACACTGAGGTCTGCCCTGCATCTTCTGAATTTCACTGAGAAGTTCTGGCTTATTTCTTCTGACTGTCCCAACATGGTCAGCTTTCTCTTCTGAAGTTCTTCTCCAAGGCGGTAGGAAGATGATATGACTCTGCAATCCTTCACTAATCTCCAGCACCACATGCATCCCCTGATTCTTCTCAAATGTTCCTCCAAGTAGCTTTCCAGTGTATACTTGCAGATTCCATGCATAGCTAGATTTTGCATCACAGGCCGCCCATAGTTTAGAGACATTCTTGGCAGGCTTGTTGGGCATGTACGGTCGGAAAGGACACCATCCCCTGAATGGAACAAGACTCTCATCTACAGTAACATGGGGACCAGGATTGTCTTCAATCCATAAACTTGCAGTTGCTACTCCCTTTTGACCTGTACACTCCAGCAAATAACAGAACTCTAACGTAAGCATGCAAGTCAGTCTGATCCAGTGGCTTCCATTTCTCTTGAAACACATGTCTCCCCTCTAAGTTGGTAATTTCCAGTATCATTCTCTCTATTAGTGGGGTTATGAAGATCTGAAATGCTGATTGGGTCTAATCAACTCTAATTACGGCAAATCTTGTATGACGGGAGTCATATTGATCACATTGGATGACAGTCTGCCTCGAATTTGGTGTGGTGATGTTGAGTATTTTACACAGACCCTCAGACCCAGACCCTTCACAAAACCCTAGGACTGGGTCTCAAAGTCAATGGAAATACAAGTACACTGAAGAAAGATGTTTATTTCTGATCTGAACAGCTACTTACCCACATTAATGGTGTCCTGGTCTTTGTATGCAAACTCTGCACAGACCCCCCACCACACATCAGAGTGACCAGATTTCACACACAAGTTCATGACCCCAGATGAGGAAAAGTCACCAAATTTCATGAAGAAAAAAAAAGGATCACTAGCACTTTGATCAACACAAAAACTGAAACCGGTCAAATTGTGTGACGAACTGAGTCGGACCCAAAGACACCCTCAGACAGACGGTCAGTAAAGTGGGATTTATTTAACGAAGACAGGGGTAAATCCACGAGAGTCCAGAGTCCAGTCCAGAGTCAAAACCAGGGTGGCAGTCCAAGGGAGCAGGCGGGATCTCGAGGTCACAGGCAGGCGGGGTCGAACACGGGCAGGCAGTCAGAATCGGGCAGGAGAATCAGGCGAGGGTCAGGCATGCTCAGGAAGCAAACAGACGGATCAGGCGTGGGTCAGGCAGGCTCGGGAAACAGGCAGACAGAAGGCAGGTCGAATAAACAGGCAGACGGAATACTGGAATGCTGGAAGTTCTCACCAAAAGGTTCGATACGTTCTGGCACTGGAGACTGGCTGGGACGGAGCTTAAGTGAAGGTGGTAACAGGTGAAGGCGATGAAGGTAATTGCGGGGCGTGGAGGTGATGAAGGGTGCAGCTGAGAGGTGGAGCCAGCTCCAGTACCAGGAACGTTACAAATTGACCCGTAACATAATATAAGGGTTACATTTTTTAATTAAATTTTATCTATACAGTGCCAATTCACAACAGTTATCTCATAGTGCTTTTCCAAACAGAGCAGGTCAGACCCTACTCTGAAGTTATATACAGAAGCCCAACAATTCAAACAGCAAGCACTAGGCGACACAGGCAAGGAAAAACTTCCTCCTAAGAGGCAGAAACCTCGAGTAGAACCATGGCTCAGGGTGGGTGGCCATCTGCCTTGATCGGTTGGGGGTGAGAGAGAGAGAGAGGGCAAGAGAGAGAGCGAGAGAAGGACAGAGGGAGCAGTGAGAGGCAGCCTACACATTAACACATAGACTACATGAAAAATGGCAAAGATATTTTATCATCATGACAAAGAGTAATGATAATGAAAGCAATAAGACTATGAACAGTCGTTGTAACTGTGGCAGAGTATTAACATGGTGACAGCAGGAGACTCTCTATCACTTCACCTCAAACCTAATGTACTCTCCCATACACTCAGAAACTGCCTACAACCCTTGTGCACTGTGTGGACCCTTGCCTGGGATATTGAGATACTCATTCAAAGAGCTTCTTTACAAGAGCCAGATCCAGGCTGGGGTTCCCCAAAACTTATTTTGTGGCTTCTAAAGTTTGCTCCCAGGTTCTCCTGTGGGTCTACAACTACCATTTCTACTTTCACCCTGATGTCAGCCGCACTATTGGGTCACGTGTTTGCTACTTTTGGTAGTCGTCTACCATTTATTTAGTCTCCTATTGCACAGTCTATGCCAGGGAAAGAGTTCCCATCATCCCCCGGCAGGTTTACCTCTTTGCATCCCAAGTTGGCCCTGGTGGCACATCTCTCTCAACTTCATCACCGGCCTTCCAGCTTCTACATACAAGAGAGTAATTGTTACGATCATGGTTATGCATATGAATTTAGCAGACTTGCAAAGTAGAATATATTTATATATATTTATATATATGTGTGTGTATCTCCCCGGTCTCCTGTGTGACAGGCAGCGACACTCACCACTATACTAACCCCACCCCCATAGACCCTCATAGACAAGTTGTCTGACGTTTGATTTCAAATTCCCCTCAGCCATATTCCTGTTCCTCTATGTCTTCAGACTTCATGCCATTTCCATTGAGTTTCTTTCAGATAGTGGACCTCATTTTGTTTTTCAGGTTTGGAAGACTTTTTGCTCTTCTCATGGGGCTAAACCACAGCTCCTCACCCACAATCCAAATGTCAGTGTGAGTGTTTAAACCAAGAAATAAAAAATGCTCTTCGCTGTGTCTGTGCCAACAGCCTCACCTACTGGAGATTGCATTTACTTTGGATCGAAAATGCTCAGGATTCACAAATCTTAGCAGTTACCTTTTGAAACTTATCTAGGTCTCCACATTTCCCGACTCCACCATTCCCTCCATCAGGACTCACCTCAGGAACTGCCGAATAATTGGGACCAGACCATACTTCAGCCTAAAACACAGATGCATTCCGGCTTCCACCTTTCAACCAGGTCAGAAAGTTGGCCTCTCTTCAAAAGATTTTCCTTTAAAGGCTTACCCTAAAAAACTCTCTCCCAAGTATCTAGGTCCATTTCCTATCCAATCTGCCATCAGTCCATCTGCTGTTCCTCATCAGCTTCCACCTCATCTTCAAGTCCATCCTGTTTTTCACATTTCCCAGATTAAATTAGTCAACTCCAATTCCTCTCTAAGAGGTGCATCTTGGATGCTAAGCATTCAGCCTCCCCACTGGTCTTTCCATCTGTGGAATCCCTCTCCTGGCATCTCATTCTCGTCCCCCTCACTGCTCCAGGTCAAGACGCACACCTCCAGTACCTACCCACCTGTCCACTCTCCAACGGGCCGTCTCCTCCTGCTAAGGAAACAAAGCAATCCAATCCCAACTGACCATCTCCACCAGCAACAGACAACAGCCAAATCTGGGAACACACTGTACCCCTTCCTTGATGGCTCCCCTCTTCATGAAGCAAGACCCTGACCCCTTCCTCTACAAAACCAGTTCAAATATAAATCAGATCAGACAACCTTCCTGTCTCCCAGTGTGGATCCATTCTTGGCTTGGTGTTCTCCCCTTGCAGACAAGTTTTTCTAGAAAACATATAATCTCTGTTCAATGAACCTTTAATTTTACAATCCCTGGTGTCCGTAATTGTTGTTTGCACCTGTTACATGCCTGCAGGCTGTTTGTTTCTCTTTCCCCTCCCCCTGTCTCTTCACAGGTAATAGGGAAAGCTGGTGTCAATCTCCCCTGGTTGATCCTCATCAACCATGGGCCAATCAGCATCCAGGGAGGCCTTATTTAAGCAGCCCAGCTGGGGAGAGAGGGGGTCGAACTGGCTTTGTTACATGACGCATGTCTTGTTGCACTTTGTGTGGAGGTTGTGGTGGGAGTTAGAGGGTGAGGTAAGTTTGGGGTACCCTGTACATTTCCTCACGTAGGTGTCTTTCCTGTTAGATACACTATGTAAGTAGGAGGGGTGCCACCCATGTAAAGTTTTGGTGGAAACTTTTGTTAGATTAGATAGGCAGGGTTTTTGTTTTCTTTTGTTTCTTTAGCACAGACGGTAGTTAGGCCCTGTTTTGTTTTATTTTCTTTGATTTGGCACCACCTAAACCGCCCCTTTCTCCCCCACAGCTTGTGTGAGCCTTCTGGGATTTCCGTTGTCAATAAATCTCTCCTTTTTTCAACATTCAACCAGGACTCTGTCAAATTGTTGTGGCTGTTGTGTTACTCCCCTCCTTCCCTCAACGCAAAAAGGGGGGGGGCGTAACATTCATACAGAAATATACCAATAAAGCTCTGAGGATCGATTATATTGTATTGTTTGCATACATCCATTGTGGTTGCACTCTCTAAAATAAGAATTATTTTATTCTTTATGCGTTTTTCTGACATGTATTGTCAAAGTTAAATGATTTCAGAAAACAATTTTTAGCTTTCGAATGGGTCACTGCTTATGTAAGCCTAATGGGTTAAATGCTTTCACAGCCAAGACAGCCATCCGCAAGTTGTCTATCTGTTAAGCACTTCTGTGTCTTTCCGTTCCCTACACGTAAAGGCTATGAAAACCAATTAAGATTACAAAAACACATAGGAGTATTGCTATACAAATCCGAAAATGTCACGATAAATACATTTGAATAACACAATTAATAACAAAATCATAAAAAGGTCTGGTTTTGCACTTCTTACAGTTCCGTCCCACATGAGCCAAAAGTGGTTGTAGGTTTAAGGGTGCCTTAATGTATACTGTGGAGGGGGCGTGGCGCTCAGCTGTAGGGGGAGGTGTGGAGGAGGCTCAGGGAGCAGAGCCAGGGACCTGGGAGGGGCCAAAGAGGCGAGTACGGGGGGCAGGAAGGGGACGAGCAGTTGTGGGGGCCCTCGGACTGGGTGCGGGCGCCGATCTCCGTCGGGGTGCCGGCGACGGTCAGGCTGTCAACACCGGCTCGCCACCCGGCGTCTGGGGTGGCGAGTCAACCGCCAGATGGTCTTCCGCCAGTGTGACAGTCGCCGCCATATCCGCCGGACGGTGGCACCGCACCCAGTCCGAAGTCGCAGCCGGGAGCCCCGCCACAAACTGCTCCTGGACCACCGTCTCCACCAGCCGCTGTTCCCCCTCCGCCTCGCCGGGCTGCAGCCAGCGGATCGCTGCGTCCCGTAGCTGCTGGGCGTAGGTGAAGGGCCGGTCCTCTGGTCCCAGCTGGGCTTCCCGGAACCGGCGCCTGTGGTCCTCCGCCGAGAGCCCCAGCCTGTCCAGAACAGCCCTCCTCACCTCCCGATACCGTCCTCGGGAGGAAGCCGGCAGACCCAGCGCCGCCGTCTGGGCTTCTCCTGACAGGAGGGGAAGAAGTCTCACCGCCCACTCCTCCTCCGGCCACCCGCACGCGGTCGCCGTGGCCTCAAACATGCCCAGGAACGACTGCGGGTCGTCCTGGTCGTTCAGCCGGTGTAGCTGAATGCCCGCAATCGGGCCCCCTGGTGGAGCCGTCGTCCAGGAGCAGTTTGTGGCGGGGCTCCCGAGCCTCCTCCACACCTCCCCCTGCAGCTGAGCGCCACGCCCCCTCCACATATACTCATCTAATTAATCTATCTCCTTTCTATGCATCACATGACTGGTTTCAAATGTTGGAAATGGCAGCCTGAGCTAGCTTTCTCATCCTTTTCAATACCTGGTTTAGTGCCAATCGTGCAGAGAGAAGCTCCAGCCCCTTTGCAAACGCTTATCTGAATGCATAGAAAAATGCATCAAATGTACTCCACCCCTCAGTGTCTGAAATAATTATGCCATGCAAGATCTCCTTTCTTCTGTGAATGATTTCATCATTCTGGGTTTCATTGCTATTCCTGCCTATTCATAAGCTCAGTTGAAAAAGCAATTAAGGACATTTTTAGAGAATATAAAGAGGGACATACAGTTCCATCTTGTCATAAAAACTGGGTAATTTTTGCCTTTATATTGGCACTTCTGTTACTTTTTTTCAAAGCATGATAATATGTCACATTACTTGATAGTTGAAAAACTACCATCAACTTTTGATTAAAGGGTTAAGAAATATTATATGTGTTTTAAAACTAATTAGCATGTCAAATCAGGGGATACAAGTGATTAGTTGAGTAAAGACTCCCCATGGATGTTGTGTGTAATTGCACGACAAATACACACACACACACATTTGCAGACACTTGCATTCTGACAGCATCGGTACTTGAACATCAGCCTAGCAGCATGTAATGTGATAATTCATTTTGCTGTGACATTTTCATTTTGCTGCTTCCAGTGCAAGCTTTTTATTCGCCTTTATTGTTTGAGGCTTACTGTTATCACCTAGTCCAGCAACATCATCTTTTGAAATAACACAAATTATGCATCCAGTACTAATGTTTTGATTCTACATTGCCTGTTTCTCTCATTTTAGTGTCTAATTTCAATTTCAGGTTGACACAAATATACTAACGATGTGACAGAAAAAGTAGCATCAAAAGGACAGTAAACGTGCATCTCGAGTAATGATTTCTTTTTAAAAATACACATAAAAACAACCATCCTAAATTTACATTCAGCAAATAGCAATATTACTTTTGAATTTTCAAAAGCAACAAGAGCTACAGCAAAAAGATAAAAAGGAAAACATTTTCTTTTTTATGTGGACCTCTATAAAACGAAAAAGATGGCTTAGTACAATCTGTTTTACAATAGTTGATTTCAGACAGGTTTTCTATCTTTTCACAGAAGTAATAGTAACCTGAGCACTCTGACATTTTACGTGCATATATTATTCAAGGTATTCAACTTAAATTTCAGGATTTTCATCCTTTGTTGTGATATGTAAAACTTTAAATACTTCCTTAGTTTTGTGAATTCTGAATTAATTTTAGGTAAGAAATTATAAAGCTGTCTGTGTGTTTCCTTCACAAAAGAAAAGTGTACAGTGCTCACATAGTTTTAACACAATATATTACTATTGTACGATATATTTATATATATTACCCACGCATTTACACAGCTAGTACAGTATGTTACTTTCTATGGTAGACATGCAATATTTGGAACAACAATCTTTTTCATGCATTTTTATTATCATATAGAATGCATCTTCTAAATAAAAATCTTCCAAAAGGATTTCATAACTCATTCCAGTTAAGCACAAAACCTGAAACAAAGGTAAAAATGAAAATCACTCCAATTGATCATTCTTTCAGGTAAAACAGCAATGCCAGCCACTAAACTAGAAAAAATGACATCTAAATGTCTCTTTGGCAAAATTTGATTATTTTGGCTGTGTGGATTTTGTGACGGGCTCTTTATTGGTTGGGATTTCAATGCTGCTTTTTTGATGGAATATCTTGGTACAAGGGGAGCGCTGATGCTTGGATGCAGCAAAAAATTGCATTATAGAGATGAGATGATTTTAATGCAATTGCGGAAAGTCTCAATAAAGTGTGTGATCGGTATAAAGATACATGCCATTTACCGTGTGCATCTGCAATAACTTTGTTCACGGTGTACTTTTCACATTATGAACACTCCTTGTCTGCTTGTACTTTGTGTCCTCTCAGCTGTCTGTTTTAAATGATCTCATTCATTATATACATCCAAGTGCTGAGTAATCTGTAACACATGCTTTTGATTAAATGAAAAATCAATCCATCGCACAGTCAGGTGAAGTTTTTACATCTGGCAAACTTTAGAAGTACAAATGTCTGTAGTAGTAGTTATATCCGACGAAATGCCTTGTACTTGTCTTTCTTTTTGCTCTGGTGGCCAGTCATTGACTAGTCCAGACACTTTTTCTGTAATTTGCCTGATATCTGTTCTAATGAAATGTTTCTCTCCTAAATGTAAGCTTCTGCCTGTGTTTGTTGACATTGGTGACAACAACAATTAATGTGTCTTGCAATTTTTTTAGATATATTTGTCATAAACTAAACCTAAAAGACTATATGTATAAATCATATCGCCATAGGCACAATTGGATACAATTGAAGCATAAGGAGTTCTACAACAATTAACTGAACTGAACTGTATTATCATTTGAGGTAATTTGACTTATATTATGACTTATCTGTTTTTTATTTATTTAAGGGCCTTGAGATTAACTCAATTGAACTGAACTCAATAAAAGCAACCACCCATCCCATGTTTCTTCAGTGTCATTGTAGTTTGATGTGTGAGTAAGCATTTTTGCATAGGAAAGGGTTGTCATGTAACATTTATTGAGCCTTGAAAAAGCAGTCATCTCACAATCCTTGTTCAAAGAAGTGAAATATCCTGTCATGTAGTGTGAAGCAGG